TTGTCCTGGATTCTCATGTTTTATACATTTATTTATTTATTTCCCTAGGGACACTGCACAATCTGTGAAAGAAAAGTTTGGAAGGAAACTCTACAATGCCCTGCTAAAGTGAGTGTACAGGTTACTTTGCTCTGCCTTCCAGAGCCACATATTCAGCTGGCTTACCTGTGGTGTTTCTGTGCTCTACTCTTTGTGTAAGAAATTTCAATCCTTAGGAAGGGCATAGGAGAAGGATATGGGACCCTCTTGTTCCATATAGAGGTTACATTTTCAATAGGCAAATGTCAGAGAAAAAATTTAAAGTTACTAGAACCCCATTGTGGAAGGAGTCTTAAGAGACATGAGGGATGTGTTACTTAAACATAAAGGCTTTCTCACTGTCAAAAATGAGCTACCTCACCTTAAAAAAGCACCAGAAACAAAGTAATATGTATTAGTGGCTTAGTCATATCCTTTCAAAAGACAGTTGGAAGTGAATGACCCAAAGTACAGATGAGATGACTGGAACTTCAGCAAAACCAAGGTGTGTCTGAAAAACAAAAAAAAAGAAATCTTTAGCTTTTTTGGAAGCTAATTGGAAGGTCAATAAGTGTATGGGAGAACAAAATGTAGGGAATATAGAAGGGCCATGAAAACAAAGGAATGATTCATGTTGACATCAGCAGACTTCAGATCAGACCTTGTTTGCCTTTTCTTCATTTTCTTTATACAACTGATAATGAGTCATTTGGTAAAATAGGCTCTGTGTTGCCTCTGCAGAGGAGAAATTCCAGACTTGAACAAGATTCTTGACCGAGATGATATAACCATTATGAAAAGAGCCATCTTTTCAACTCAGGTCAGAAAATGTATTATTTACACAAACATCTAGTATAAATTATAAACATGATTGTACAAGGATTGTGTATGACTTATAGTGATATACATGCATCGAAAAAGAAGTTTTCAGCAAATTCTTCTCATTGGTAAGATTTAAAGATCAGCTGTGATTGTTTTTAATAAGAATATGACCTAAACTAGTTCTTTTGGGGAACCCATGGATATTCCCGCAGTGACATGCAGGACACCAAAATTCCTGATTCTTTTCAACTTCACTAAGTGTGAACTTTGCATTGTTCCTGAAGCCTGGATTCTTCCATTTTTATTAAATATGTAAAATCAGTCTCTTAAGGAGACATAATGTATTGACTAAGAATCTTTAAAATTAAATGATATGCCTTTCTACATGTTAGTACAAATACATTTGCTTTGAGGCAAATAAAACAAGTCCTGTAATATTTCATGGTCTCATTTGTGGCCTTAGTTATATAGCAAACCACATTATATGATCATAACTTTGCTTTCTTACCTTAAAATGAAAGGGTAAAAACCTATCCACATCAATGACAAAATCTCCCACTGTCTTCCACTAACCTTAGAAAATGGTAACAGACTCTTTGACAACAGTTTTGTCCGGTTTATGGATTGCCTTTTCTCTCTTTAGCGACACTCTCTGCCTCCAGTGACCACCCACAACATGATTGATGATAGCAATGATCCAATCCTCAATACCATCCGACGCATTGGCCTTTTCAATAACCGGACAGACAGAGTAAAGGTACATTCTGTCATTTTAATTTTAGATATAAAATGGAATTTCTTTAAACAGTCTCAGTCTGGATCATTAGCATGGGGAGTGCAGTCAAATACTTGATAGGCACTATTATACTAATAAAGTACATTTTCCCTCTTCCTCCCCTTTCAGGAATAACAACTAGTGACTTCACAGATATCCTCAGTTGCTGTTTAACCAAGTTAATTTCAAATTAGAAATCTGATGTTAGGGAATTGTTTTCATTGCTGCCTCCTGTACTGAATGAGGAGTTACTATTCCTGAAATCCAGAAAGTGCCACAGGTCATTTGCACCCAGATGTAAAACTCTGAAATAGATTCATTTGCTAAAACTAGAGTTCCAGAGTTTGAGCACAGACATTTCTGGAGTATTGATTCATCTCTTAAGAACAGCACCCTGACACTCAGGAGTTACTGTAGAAGGGAACCAGAGCTTTGATCCTGAGCAGAAATGTTCATGCTGTGCTCATGTTTACATCAACTGCTGAAGCTAAATATGTGTAAATAAATCTTTTCCTTACTTCCATGTCCATCATGTCAGACCACAGAAACCGTCAGCTCCCACTTTCACAAGTCTGCCAAGGCTTTTTTGGTCTGGCAATCTCTGGCATTCTCTCTGTTAACTATGTCTATCTCACCATCTATCTATTCAAAGTAGAACCTAAAATTGCAAATTCTTCCTCTTCCAAACCTACCTTTTAAAGTCAGATCCATAGTATCTCAACAATGACATATGACTTGTTCTCAGTGTTTTGGCTTTTACACCCAGTATCTGAGTGAACATTTTCCTCGGCTTCTTAGTTGCTTCTTCCTGGCTTAACGTATTCTCTGCTAAATGTGTGCCTCCAATGAGCTCTGAGAGCATCATATGTTAATAATATACTAGATGTAACAAAAATAGGGTGGAAAGATGCACTGTATATAAATGTAGTAAAAAATTCCTCAGAACTAGCTGCCTGAAGTCATTAGAAAGCAGCTAGCATATAACACCGCAGACACCTCTTCCTGCTTCTCAGCAGACTTGATTGGATAGGTATATGTCAAGTTTGTACAAAACTGTCATTACCACTGGAAAATTACCTGCTGCATGAACAGGCTTAATACTTAATGAGCTGAATGTCATGGACAAAAATTCTGGAAACTTCCAATGGAAAGTCATTTTGAGAGGTGTATGACATATCCGTGTAGACACAGTTGGCATGTGAAAAATAGCCTCAGCAATGCCAATGGAAAATCTTACTTGATTCACTGGGATCAAATAAGCTTGCATAATGAGTTTACAGGCCATTTACTGGTTGAATACATTCATGTGTTAATTTACTTAAGTGAGTAGCATGACTATATTATTAAGAAAGGATAAAAGCATACCCTTGACATGGAATAATGGCTTGCAGTATGTTTATGCGGGGAAAAAAAGCCCAGAGAAGGTTAAACCCTTCCCTCACACTTCTCCCTCCCAAAGCTGACTGGACAAGTATACACAAGGCACTTCTCTGTTTAGCAGTGTAACATAGGGCAATGACATCAAGCCCTGCAGAGTCATGCAGATAAATTATCTTGGGTCCTGAAATCAGGACAAGTTAGTAAGTTAATAAGCTTTCTCTTTCAGCAAGTTTAGTTAGCCTAGGTAGAGGACTGTGATGACAGGGCTATTAATATGTTTGGTTTCAAAATTCTCTCAGTTCTTGAGAGATCAATTAAGTATCATAAGCATTCCCATATTTTAGTTGGATGATGTGAAGCTCAGAATTGCTGTATGCTCCTGAGGCCTTCTCTGGAACAAGACATCCCAATATTCTGTACCTTGGTACAACAGACCAAGAGAACCAATTTAGTATTGCTAAATGCCACAGCCTTAGGCATAATTCTCAATGCACATGGTGAAGACCTGTCCAGAAAAGGATTCATTATCAGTTCTATTTCCAGGACAAGACTGCTCACAGGCAGGATACAAGAATGCACACAGGCAGGATACATTTTAGTGTGGGAAGTGAATTAGATAACAGATGGGCAAAGGAGATGTTGTCCACGTTGTCTTAGGAAAAGACCAGAGTGAAGAAATTGCTTAAGCTTATTGATAATTAAAATGTATTGATGATGGTTTTCTTTCACCCCTAATGTAAGTTTTGAATATCCAGGTGATCCTACATCCAGAGTTTCTTTCTTCGACAAGCCCATTGCTGCCCTTGGACTATGAGGAGTTTGTCAGAGGCTGCCACCTTGGTGTATTTCCATCATACTATGAACCCTGGGGTTACACTCCAGGTAGGCAATCTGTACACTTAACTACTATCAAAAGATGAATACCCATTCTGTCGATGCAGAATAGCTTTACAGCCAGTAAAGTGCTGAAAAGACTTTTTTGGCTCTGTTTCTTCTGCAGTGCAAAGATCTTACTGCTGGCAAAATTTGGGGGCCAGGTGGTATAAAATGCCATCTACTGACTAACAACTATTCCCATTTGTCTCTGCGCTGGACCCTTTCCCATACTAACATGTAATCTTTTGATATTCTCTGGCTTTAGAATAAAAAATCATTTTTAAAAATTCTTAACTTAATTCAAGACTTTAAAAGAAGATTTAGAGGAATGCATATATTGAAAAAAGTAGGGCAAGAACTCTGATGCTGCCAGCCAACATCCTTCACTGGATTTAATTCAAGATAACAACTAAGTTTGACAGAATTATGTAACACCATATCTAAGATATTTACCACAATGCATGCAGTGGTAGAGAATCTCAGAGAATTAAATGAAAATTTCTAAAGATACAAAGAGCATGTAGTCTCTGACTTTAAAAAATTGGCCCAGATTTACAAAAGTCACTTAACACCTGATGAAATGAGTACAAACTATGAACTTGAATACCTATGATCAAAGCCTGGGGGCCTGGGTTTTTTATGTCCTCCAAAATACCTTCTGTAGCCTTGATACACATCTGGAAGTTGGGGTGCCCCTCTGAAGAGCATTTGTTGTAAGACAATGAATCATAACAGAAATTTTTCAAATTTAGTCCTTCTCCAGAAATATTTGTCTGCAAGTAAGAGACCTATTAAATTCCAAGACAACTGTCTTTCATTCCAGAAATTTTTCTTCCTGTTCTAAAAAGTGTGACAGCCAGTGATGATTTTGAAATGAACATTAAAGTAAACCTGGACAGAAAAGTTAGACTGGTACTTAGCAGATTTGAGGAAAGCTGTGATTTACACTAGTTAAAAGGGTAGTTTCTCTTTGCATTACTAATGCAAAAGTGATTCTCTTTGTTGATACCCATTTAATTCTCCCAGAAACAAAAAATGTGTTTTTTAAGGTAGATTTATAGCTCTATTTTATAGACAGCAGTTTTTTTGTCATATTAATGAAGGCCACGTAGATGTCTTGCAGCATTTCAAAGACTAGAGTATTTACTTTATCTGCATGCTGCCTTAGGTTAGGCTTAAGTTCAACAGCAAAAACTCTTTAAGCCTGAGTAAACAGTTATCCTTACTCACAGTGATGATAGAAATAACTACAAAAGATGCATACATTTTCTAATTTTATAAAACTAGTTCCACATCTACTTTGAATGGAGTCCTGAGTTAATGATGGGGTTTGTTGGGGTTTTTTTCTTGCTATAAGCACCAGTTTACAAGCAATGAGCATGAAAATATAATGTTCAACATGCTCCTGCACTTAAGAGATTCAGTTTTGTATATAGTTGTGAACAGTTAATGAACATATGCGTACAACAGGCTTCAATTTAAAATCCAAACAAACAGTCCAGACCATATATTGGGGTTCTCTGTTTCAGCACTGGACTCCCAGAAAGTTTTCAGTTTAGCTGCTGGGAAACACGAAGATATGTCTGCAAAAATGGTGTGAAATTTTCTGTTTGAAATTTCTTTTTCTTTTTTTCTTTTTTCTTTTTCTCCAAATCCACAACAAAGCATAATAGTTTTCACTTGTCATTTTCAGAGCAGCTCTAGGGTTATGGGACTTTCTGTCTTCCTGTTTCTTTTTCTTTTTTCTCTCAAGGTGAAACCATTCAAAGCACATTGCCCTGAAATGCTTTTTGTCTGTTTCCTTTGGCAGCTGAATGCACTGTGATGGGCATTCCCAGTGTAACCACAAACCTTTCTGGATTTGGCTGTTTCATGCAAGAACATGTTGCTGACCCAGCAGCTTATGGTAAAATTTTTAACGCCATATCAAAATACCTCCTCTGAGTTAGGAAAACAAAAAACATAGCAATAATGTAGTTACTCCTCAATTTTGTGCTTTCACTAATGCAATGGAGTTCATTAGGGGAATATATTCAGAGCTCTCAATATCTCATTATGTTGAAAAAGCCATTCAAGCTTTCATATTTATGCAAACCCTTTCCAGGTTCTCTCTCTTTTGTCTCCCTTTAACCGTTTGTCTGCTTTATCCTTCCAAATGCAGCACTCCTCATACCTACTCTGGAGTCTCCCAGCACTTCCCTTTAAGGCCTCTGGTTACAGCATAACCCTATGAGCCCTTCAAAAGAAGCAGTGAAAATTTGCTTCTCTTTGAATAGTCCAAGAAGCATGTACCAGGACCTTGAGGCCAGTGAAACTTGCCCCCACCAAACAAAGAGTAAATTATCATGTAGAATAAAAAATAAATATGTGAAAAGGGACCTACTTAGAAATAAGAATCTGCTTATAAAGGTTTAGAAATTGTTCATTATTGGAGTGTGATAAGGAGGAGTGTAGCACACTGCTGGTGTGTCAAGACAATATTGAAAATGTGCCCAAACTAGGGCCTATTTCTAAGTGCATTGGCTTGTCTGCACAATCAGACAATGACAGCTCCACACACAGGTCCAACTGTGCCCTGACCTAGGGACAGGAGTAGAGCCAGTTGCCAAATACAGATACATCTGCCTGGGTAGACACGTTTTTGAGAGCCTTCAGAAAGGTCACAGACCGAGAGCACAGGTCACTTGCTCTCCTCTGCCAGAACATAGATGTGAGCATTGACATAACTTACTGTACATTCCTAAGGGACACTGGGCACTTCAGTTAAGGTAGTTGTGCATCTGTCTCATCCATTAAGATAGCTGAAATCTAGTACCCCCTTCTTCACAACACCCTGGTGTAAGGAAGGTGGCAAGAATAAAGTATTGATCTTGACAAACTACGTAGAGGCAAAGTTTACCTCAGCCCTCTCTCTGCCAGAATTGTATATTGACTAATGTATGTGAGTTAGCTATCTCTATGGAAATGCTTGTATTTGTACAGAAAACACAGCCTCTCTCTTACAGGCTGATTCTGACCATCCACACTTCTAAATTCTAGGAAATTCTAGTGCTTCTAGGAAAGCACTAGACTGTTTTTTTTAAAGTAGTCAGTATTTTTAAAATTATGGGAGATAAAAGTGATGTCTTTATCCAGAAACTCTTGAATCCTTTTGGACATACTTACACAACAACAACAAAGCCTCTGAGTTTTGAAGAACTTGCTGAATTTCAGCCTGAAAGGTAAAGAAAATTAAAAAAAAAAATGCATATTTCTCTGCAGCTTACCATTCCATTCCATTAGAATAGTAACAAATGTTCCAGTTATTGCTGCCTTTTAACATTAAAAAGAACATATAATACATATAATATTTGTAAGACTATGTGACAGAAGGTAGAATGGAAGTGTAAGAAGTCAGACCCCATTTTCAGTTCCACTCATCTTCACTTCTTTTGTGTCCTTCAGGCATCTACATAGTTGACAGAAGGTTCCGCTCACCTGATGAATCATGCAACCAGCTGACTCAGTTCCTGTACGGATTTTGTCAGCAGTCCCGTCGCCAGAGGATCATCCAAAGAAACCGAACTGAGAGGCTCTCAGATCTGTTGGACTGGAGATACCTAGGCAGGGTGTGTGAAACTATGTAATAGAGGTATTTAAAATTCCAGACACATAAGTTTAACTAGGAGTCTTCAGCAGCATGCTACAATGCAAGGAGACATCCCTGTTCTAAGAAGCACCTCTCAAAGGTGCTAGATGCAAAGCCTGCCTTTACACTTCAGTGTAATGCTTCCATTCTCCAGTGGTAAGGAGAGACATACCTTAACTGAATAGGTTAGAGCAGAAGCCTTTGTAGTCCTTAGTCCTTGTGCTAAAGACAGTGTAAAAAGCTTGTGTTTCTAACAACACTGGCAACTCTACACTAAGTAAGATTTGTGCTTCAAAGTAATCTGGACTCTTTCAAAAATCCTACCTATTCTTCCTAAAATGCTGCTGAGCCTTGTGGCTCCTCAACACTCCTACACTACCTCTGTGCTTTAAAGGCAAAATAGTGGTTTTAATTTGACGTAAAAAACACTGCAGTATCACCTACTAAGAAGAAAGTAGCAAAGCAGTATTCTCAAGTCCACAGGAGCAAAGAAGTGGATGCACATATATCAGTTTTGTAACTATTGTTCTGCTCTGATATCTGTGTGAGAACCTTTCTGTTTATATGGTTCCCAACACAGCATAAGAACCTGATACTACAACAAACTATTTTTTCCATGCATGTGATGGAGACTCATGAATATAGTGGATCCATAAATATTTTTGCCAAATTCTTAAATACTAGACTTCAATAAATTCATAAATGTTACTTTTCTGTAATTGTTACACACGCTTTCTATGCAAGAATGAGTCCAAAGTTTATGTGCATACACATGCACACTTAAAGATGTAAATTTTCCTGGTTAAATAAGAGCCAGTTCTATCTTGAGGGATAAAAAAAAATCTATCGCTCAATAAGAACTACAGTGACTGAGACAAGTGCTGCTTTCCATCTTGATACATCTTAGCCTTACAGAAACCTTATTCAACTTCTGTTCCAGACTCTACTTCAGTGTGAATCTAACATGAATGGCTCACTATTTCACAGCAATGTGTTCATTATAAGCAGCGATATTAGTTGGTTTCTCCTTAGCTGAAAACATGTTTAGACTTTGTTCAGCATTATCTTTTAGAAGATTCTAATTTTATGTTCCTTTTTTTCCTGCTTAAATCTGCCCAAGACTTCCTTGACTTCCAAAGACTTCTCTTTTATGTTGCAGTATTACATGCATGCCAGACACTTGGCCCTCAGCAGAACATTCCCAGATAAATTTGAGATGGACCCAAGTGCTCCACCAAAGGTGAAGTCTGCTTTTGGAGATGAGTTCATCTGCATTTTAGCTACTTTACAAAG